TCTATTTCATTTGTGTCTTTGTTCTATTGTAATTTGTTTTCTTTGCTCTTTCTTTATCACAGTTTACTTGTCTTCGGTAAGCTTGAGAGTTTTTTTAGGCTAGTTTTTTAAATGATATTGAAAATGGTGATAAGAATTATGAAATTTCAATGGTATCAAAAATGTATGTCATAACAGTATTTAAAGCAAGAATAACTATATTGTGATATAAGATTTTGGTCACATTGCCCACAATTTCCACAGAAATATTAATCAGCACAACTGTTTTTGACATTTATAATAAGACGAAATGCTTTTTAAGCACAAATCAGCATATTGAAAATGATTTTTAAAGGATCATGTGACACTGAAGACTGGAGTAATGATGCTGAAAATTCAGCTTTGCCATCACAGGAATAAATGACATTTTAAATTATAATAAAACAGAAATGTTTTAAATATTAATAATATTTCACACTTACTGTGTTTGCTGTATTTGAGATCAAATAAATGCAGCATAATAGATTTATTTAAAAACAAACAATTTTGAGTGGTATTGTGTGTGTGAGACAGAAATCAAAGCAATGGACACAATATATTTATTATTCCTAAAGATGAAACATAAGCAGAATCATAAATATGCAAGTTGCGTTACTTCGCTTTTTCTTAGTTTGGAAAATCCATATGTGCTGGTAAGAATTAACTGTTAAATGCACAATGGATATAGGATATGATGGAAGAAGTACTTAAAATATCAGAGCTATTGGTTTCAAATTGGGAGTTATTAATACAATCTGGTTAGAGTACAGTCATTGTGTAGCCATAACTTTATACATCTCTCTCTCTTACACACACTCATATGTTGTGTTGTATTGCCTTAACCCCAGTTCCCTGCAGAGCTCCTCACTGAGAACTGAGGTGGAAAAATACTGTTTGTGCAGGACGAGCTGCAGGAAAACCAAAGCTGGTTTATAAACAAACCATTAAATTCATGCATCAACTTTGGACACACACCCTTACACAGGTCAGATGTAAAAATCTTGCTGGCTGTTACAAGTCAGATAAAAAAAAAGGATAAATCATGCATTAACCAATGATGTAATTTAGCTGTACACTCTCACACACAGCCTTTTCTTTATACTCCCATCTCAAATTTACTTGTGGAGTGCTTGAAAAACAAATAGATTCATTCATTACACACCCTACATGACTTCCAAAGAATCCTACTAACAGACCACCTCTCTTAAACACACACTTTTTCTCTGTTAAGCCAGACACGCAGTGTCAGTAGGCTTTTATGAATGAACACTGTACTAACAGCCTGAATATGTGAATGACTTGCATTAAACAAGCTGATTATAGTTTGACCTCTGAACAGGGTATGTTGTTTTCTGGATCTTTGTCTTTCTGACTGCAGTACAGATGTCATATTTCAGTGTATTCTAAGACAACAAATCAGGGCAGAGATATATTGTAACGTCTTTGATGGTTTGTCTTATAAAACGATGTTTTTATATCTGACTCTGACACCTGGCTATCTACCACAAATGGAATGTGAAGGGACTTCTTTGTCCTTTTGAGTAGAAAATGACAGTGAAGGCAGCCATTTTCACAACTTTATTCCAGATACTTTAATCACCAAAATCACATTGTTATTTTTTTCAGCTATCACTTGAAGTGATTTCTAAAATATTTAAATGATTTGTTAAAATGTATTGAAAATAGGCAGTTAAGAACTATGGTTTAACTGCTCCCTTTTACTCTTATCTTTGAGAAGGACTTTTTTTGTGTATATATATATATATATATATATATATATATATATATATATACAAAGTAAAATATTTATCTGAGTGTTTAGACTTAATATAAAAGTACATAGCCTACATGCACGAAAAACAACCAAGTGTGATATTTTTTTTTCATGTGCACATTGCCTCACTAACTGAACTCTGGTCTATGACTCAGATTAACTGACATGAACTCTAAGACAGAGCACTATGGCCAGCGTGAAACATTTCATATTGTATAGTTGAAAAGAAATTATTCTTATAATATTTGTACAGTTATATTTGTACAGTTATTATAGCAATATCTGTACAAATATTATAGGAATGATTATAGAAATAGCACATTACAGGAATACTGTTTATTTTCTCTAGCAATGGTTTTCTATATTGGTTTCAACCATCTATTTCAAAACATTCTTAAATTAAGAAACTATTCCAGTATTATCATATTTTAGCGATACAGTGGTTCGTTAAACAAGTGAACACAATCAAATTACACTGGCATATTTAGACAAGCATTAAATAAAGGTAGATTTTTTTACATTTTCTAAAATTTTAAATTTGACAAAGGTATTTTTTCATAAATGGCAGAGTCACATAATTTTAAACGGTATAAATGTATAGACAATTTATTAATTTCAGTATGGCCGATACCTATTGACCAACATAATGGCGTTATATTTCTGTATATTACATTTTACTTTTTTTTCACAACATGAAAATTCATAATTGTTTTACTCTTTAAGTGTAGACGGTCAACGTTTCTGTTTAATATTCATCATTTTGTTTACAGTATTATTTCAGTTTTACACAGATTCAACAAGCTTTTTGTCAAGCCAGTATGTCTAGCCTAACACAGATTTGAAGCAGAGCGCTTGTCCAATATCTCCCCAAATGATCGCAGGCAATTATATAACACATTAAAAAAAAGTTGGCTGACATTTCGACGAACCCCATGTTCACGCATCTCAGACAACCATTGCTAAACACACCGATTGCATAAAGAACGCCAACGAAGAAAAAGGCAGCCCTGACAAAATAAACAATCCACGACAGAGAAGTTTTACCAGCTACGGCTCTCTGTCTAATCTCACCGGGTTTAGTGTTGTGTTTCCAGGCATCTCGCTCCGGTGAAGTGCGCTCTGGTTTAGACTTTAGCTCGGAGGCGGGGCGGACTGAACGCGCAGGTGAACTTCTAGGAGGTAGTTTGTGGAGATGCAGACAGAGAAGCGTTTTTAAGAGCGATCCGCGACACGTCGCATTCCAACGGCCCAGCTTTCGTCCCACCTCCCGGGAACCACAATCTGCATACGGCTGAATGGAGAGCAGTGTACCGGTATGAGACTGTAAGGCACGGAGGAGGAGGGATCAAGATAGAAGGGGCGGAGAGAAGGATGTGAAAAGAAAAGAGCCCCTTGTTCTGCGTCCATGTGTAAAATGAAAATGATTTTGGGAAGAGTGCAAAAGATTTATGGAATCGACTTTTTTGAAATTTTCGTCAATTGCCTAAAAGACATTTTAAACAAAACTGTTTAATGATATATAAAAAATAAAATAAAATGAAATTTCATTTTATTAGTTTCATTTTTATTAGTTAACTAACATTAGTTAACATGAACTAACAATGAACAACACCATAGGCCTATACAGCATTTATTTAACTTTGTAAATGTTAATCACAACATTTAGCCTATTAATATATCACCATTGTAAGCCTATCTGTTAACATTAGTTAATGCACTGTGAACATGAACATGAACATTTTTATTAACTAACAATAACAAAGGTTAATAATTGCTGTAAAAAATACAGGTAACACTTTACAATAAGGTTTCATTAGTTAACATTAGTTAACTACATGAGTTAACATGAACTAAGAATGAACAATACTTCTACAGAATTTATCTTAGTCTTAGAATCTATCTTAGAATCTTAGTTAATGTTCATTTCAACATTTACTAATACATAAAAATCAAAAGTTGCATTTCTTAACATTAGTTAATGCACTGTGAACTAACATGAACAATGAACGACTGTATTTTTATTAACTAACATTAACAAAGATTAATAAATATTGTAACAAATGTATTGCTCATTGTTAATCCATGCTAGTTAAAGCATCAACTAATGTTAACTAATGAAACACTGTAAAGTGTTACCAAAATATATTGCCCATTGCGAGTTAATGCATTAACTAATGTTAACTTATGAGACCTTATTGTAGTTACGAAAACTTCCAACTCAACACACATTTGCTGTCAAAGTGCAGTTTAATGTATTTCTGTATACAAATTGACAAATTATATAAAATCATTTCAAAGCTCCCAATGAGTTTCCCTGACATTTCCAGGCCTTCCAGATAAAAATGTAAAAACATTTTAAAGTACTTTAAATATAATTTACAATTTTAATTGCACTCACAAATAGTAATTTCTAGTCTAAATGTTTTAGAGTTGAGTATAACTACAAAGTCAAATTCACTATAGACATTTCCATGACTTTTTTGATTGTATTAAATTCCTTACTGATATGGGAAAACAAATGTATGTTGAGATGTTTGAAGCAAAGTGTAGCATACCTTTTATTGGCCTTCATCTCATAGGAACAAAATTGCATGTAAATTCATCCACTAAATTACACATTTTTACATATAATTTATTTATTTTATAAATGTGGTCTGGAAATAAAATCAAACAGGCAGTACATACTTGCCAAAATAGTCTTTGGTTTGAATAGATCATATTACACACAATTGACTGAAGTATTAACAGAAATACTTTAGTAGCAAGCAAGAACAAAAGACTCAGGAGACTCTACCAAAACCAACCATTTAAAATTCAAGCATATAAACAACGTACAATCACTGGGTCATTGTTTAGAAATGCAGCCATGATAAAAAATTAATAAAACACAAACCAATGAAAAGACCTTTACAAAAGTGACATTTTAGTGCTGAAAGATTTTTCATGTGAAATGTCAAATGTGCTTATTTGTTTAATTGGTTGGTCAGAACTGATTTCTCTGCTTTCTTTCTGTCTTTAATATGTCGTTTACTTAAAGTACTCTATTTTGGAATTTTCAGTCTCTTATTGTATTGTAAGTATAAGGAAACAATATTGTATTGTATACTTATTGTATACTTTTTACAGATATAATGTAATGTATTGTAACAGATATAATGTATCCTGGTGATTTTTTTTTCTACCATATACTGTTACCAACAGTAAAATGTAATTCAAAATGTTATTCACAGTGTCAGTGAGCTGGCTGTTGTGAGTTGTATTGTTCTTTTCTGTTCATGAATAGTTCATTTTACACACAGTCTCTTGGTCACAACCCCCCAGTAGAGCGCTGTAGTGTTTCTTCACATCCTCATACACAGGGACAGGGTCGGTAAGTCCAGGCAAGGTCAAAGATTTCTCATTGAGTCGCACGCCCATTCTTATCCCCTCCGGGCATTTATAGAGCACTACCAGCAGATTGGCAGCGTATGGCACAATGCGCCCACTGCGAAATATTCTATTCTGTTGGGTTGCAAAGTTAGTTGATTTGAGAGGGACGTCATCCTTGAAGAGATCCAGCAGGGTGAGGAGGGGTATCAGTGTCTCAGCGTGGCCAACCTGCACTGTTACAGCCTCTGATACAGTAACATCCGAGCTGAGAGAGAGAGAGAGAGAGAGAGAGAGAGAGAGAGAGAGAGAGAGAGAGAGAGAGAGAGAGAGAGAGAGAGAGAGAGAGAGAGAGAGAGAGAGAGAGAGAGAGAGAGAGAGAGAGAGAGAGAGAGAGAGAGAGACTTTTAACACACTTTAATTTACAAAAACACTAAGAAAACAATTTAAATTAAAGCTGCTAGCAGCATTTAGCGGTGTTCAAGCAGTTAAGGCCTTTAAGGCCGTTAAGCACAAAAGCATCAAAAGACATTAAGTTTTATATAGCAAGCATTTAACCATTGACATCATAGATGGAATAGACCATGTTTTAGCATGATTTACCATGATATACCAAATTTAGTGTGATTTTTCATGATCTACCATGTTCCAGTATGATTTACCATGAATCTAGCATGATTTACCACAGTTTACCATGATTTACCATGTTATAGGATGATTTACCATGATATACCACATTCTAGAATGATTTACCAGGATTGTAGCATGATTTACCATGATTCATCACATTGCTAGCATGATTTGCCATGATACACCATGTAATAGTATTTTTTACTATGATTTACCATGTTTCTATCGTGATTTACCATGATTTACCACATTCCTGCATTGATGTGAAGTGCCAATAAAAATGAAGTGATAAACTGACAAAAAATGATTGTGTTATAATAGTTAACATGGAAAAACTGGTTTGCTTTAGTGCTTTGATTTACTGTTGAAAATCAAGTGTGTCAAAATGAGTGAGCCAATAAGTGGTCTTCTACTGCCCTCTGCTGGCCATTCTACTTATTAATAAAGTGTTTTTACAGGTGCTTTTGCACTCATATGTAGACATTTGCTCACACACACACACACACACACACACACACACAAAGTCATTATGAAAAGATATTTTAATGGTCTATAAGCATTTCATGTCTTTGCAAGCTAGTAATCAGATTATTCAGAATTTATTCAGAAACATGGGACTACACACACACACATTCTATTGTAGATTAAACTGTCTCATTCAGGGTTCACATTTGTCAATGTGACAATGAATTTTGACTAAATGTGAGTGTCAATGTTAAAATAGTGATTTTATAAAGTCTAAATAAGAATTATAGAATAATATTAGTTAGTAGCATGACAGAATGACTATTTTAAACAGCAGGGGGCAAAAGAATACCACTTATTGGCTTAACATGCCATTCTTCATATCATTTTCACCTTTTTAATTGTTATAGAGGCATATTTTGTCCGATCTGTCTAAAATTTTTCATGCTTGTTTAGAGTGATAGGTCTCATGTTCTGAGTTGTTTTTAATAAGATCTGAGCATTCATTGAAGAGATATAGGCTTTCGGGCACACTCGGTCAAGGCTACACATTGAAGTGACCCTTTCATAGCCATCAAAATGCAGAAGTTCAACCTTTTCTGATAATTATTGATCTAGAGAGTCCAGAGAATTGTACTGCACTGGTTTTAAACATTATGATATGAAAAGTATACGATCATAGATGGAAAAGACCATTTACAGCCAATACAGGCAATTTACCGTAGGAAATGTATGGTTTAAAAGCTTTTTAACAGTTATAGCGCCACCTATGGTCCGATCTCCATGAAACTCTGCATGCTTCTTCACCATGTTAGGACACATGTGCTCATCAATTTTTGTGAAGTTCTGAGTTTTTATTTATGATTTATAGGCTTTTGAGTGTATTTTGACACGCCCCCTTTTCTAAATGACCCTGTTACAGTGAACCAAAGGGCAAAGTTCAACTTTTTTTTGATAATTATTGATCTAGAGAGTCCATAGAATTGTCCTAGACTGGTCTGGTTCCGATCAGGCAAAAAACCAGGGACTAGTTCGCAAAAGTAGGTTTTGGACAAAATTGGCCATAACAAATTTTTTTTTTGCTCAAATCGAGAATCCGAGATATACATCGTGTCCGTCTTGAGCCAAGGAACACAGTGGTGTACAAATCTAGATTCTAGGTCAATTGGTCAATGAGTTATGGGCAATTTAGTACTTTTGGTTGCTGTAGCGCCACCTATGGGCCAATCAGGGTCATACTCTGATAGGTTCTCCCCAAACTGAGGCCCTAGCACCTGGCCAGGTTTCAAGTCTCTAGGCCTTACGGTTTGGGCTGCACGATGCGTTTTAGGTTTTTTTTTCTTTTTTCAAATAGCAATTACAATAGGTTTTCAGCACTTTGTGCTTGAACACCTAATAATAGGGGACCTTTTTGACAGTTATAGCGCCACCTATGGTCCGATCTCCATGAAACTCTGCATGCTTCTTCACCATGTTAGGACACATGTGCTCATCAATTTTTGTGAAGTTCTGAGTTTTTATTTATGATTTATAGGCTTTTGAGTGTATTTTGACACGCCCCCTTTTCTAAATGACCCTGTTACAGTGAACCAAAGGGCAAAGTTCAACTTTCTTTTGATAATTATTGATCTAGAGAGTCCAGAGAATTGTCCTAGACTGGTCTGGTTCCGATCAGGCAAAAAACCAGGGACTAGTTTGCAAAAGTAGGTTTTGGACAAAATTGGCCATAACAAATTTTTTTTTTTGCTCAAATCGAGAATCCGAGATATACATCTTGTCCGTCTTGAGCCAAGGAACACAGTGGTGTACAAATCTAGATTCTTGGTCAAACGGTCGATGAGTTATGGGCAATTTAGTACTTTTGGTTGCTGTAGCGCCACCTATGGGCCAATCAGGGTCATACTCTGATAGGTTCTCCCCAAACTGAGGCCCTAGCACCTGGCCAGGTTTCAAGTCTCTAGGCCTTACGGTTTGGGCTGCACGATGCGTTTTAGGTTTTTTTTTTTTTTCAAATAGCAATTACAATAGGTTTTCAGCACTTCGTGCTTGAACACCTAATAATAGGGGACCTTTTTGACAGTTATAGCGCCACCTATGGTCCGATCTCCATGAAACTCTGCATGCTTCTTCACCATGTTAGGCACATGTGCTCATCAATTTTTGTGAAGTTCTGAGTTTTTATTTATGATTTATAGGCTTTTGAGTGTATTTTGACACGCCCCCTTTTCTTAATGACCCTGTTACAGTGAACCAAAGGGCAAAGTTCAACTTTTTTTTGATAATTATTGATCTAGAGAGTCCATAGAATTGTCCTAGACTTGTCTGGTTCCGATCAGGCAAAAAACCAGGGACTAGTTCGCAAAAGTAGGTTTTGGACAAAATTGGCCATAACAAATTTTTTTTTTGCTCAAATCGAGAATCCGAGATATACATCTTGTCCGTCTTGAGCCAAGGAACACAGTGGTGTACAAATCTAGATTCTTGGTCAAACGGTCGATGAGTTATGGGCAATTTAGTACTTTTGGTTGCTGTAGCGCCACCTATGGGCCAATCAGGGTCATACTCTGATAGGTTCTCCCCAAACTGAGGCCCTAGCACCTGGCCAGGTTTCAAGTCTCTAGGCCTTACGGTTTGGGCTGCACGATGCGTTTTAGGTTTTTTTTTTTTTTCAAATAGCAATTACAATAGGTTTTCAGCACTTCGTGCTTGAACACCTAATAATAGGGGACCTTTTTGACAGTTATAGCGCCACCTATGGTCCGATCTCCATGAAACTCTGCATGCTTCTTCACCATGTTAGGACACATGTGCTCATCAATTTTTGTGAAGTTCTGAGTTTTTATTTATGATTTATAGGCTTTTGAGTGTATTTTGACACGCCCCCTTTTCTAAATGACCCTGTTACAGTGAACCAAAGGGCAAAGTTCAACTTTTTTTTGATAATTATTGATCTAGAGAGTCCAGAGAATTGTCCTAGACTGGTCTGGTTCCGATCAGGCAAAAAACCAGGGACTAGTTCGCAAAAGTAGGTTTTGGACAAAATTGGCCATAACAAAATTTTTTTTTGCTCAAATCGAGAATCCGAGATATACATCTTGTCCGTCTTGAGCCAAGGAACACAGTGGTGTACAAATCTAGATTCTTGGTCAAACGGTCGATGAGTTATGGGCAATTTAGTACTTTTGGTTGCTGTAGCGCCACCTATGGGCCAATCAGGGTCATACTCTGATAGGTTCTCCCCAAACTGAGGCCCTAGCACCTGGCCAGGTTTCAAGTCTCTAGGCCTTACGGTTTGGGCTGCACGATGCGTTTTAGGTTTTTTTTTTTTTTTCAAATAGCAATTACAATAGGTTTTCAGCACTTCGTGCTTGAACACCTAATAATAGGGGACCTTTTTGACAGTTATAGCGCCACCTATGGTCCGATCTCCATGAAACTCTGCATGCTTCTTCACCATGTTAGGACACATGTGCTCATCAATTTTTGTGAAGTTCTGAGTTTTTATTTATGATTTATAGGCTTTTGAGTGTATTTTGACACGCCCCCTTTTCTAAATGACCCTGTTACAGTGAACCAAAGGGCAAAGTTCAACTTTCTTTTGATAATTATTGATCTAGAGAGTCCAGAGAATTGTCCTAGACTGGTCTGGTTCCGATCAGGCAAAAAACCAGGGACTAGTTTGCAAAAGTAGGTTTTGGACAAAATTGGCCATAACAAATTTTTTTTTTGCTCAAATCGAGAATCCGAGATATACATCTTGTCCGTCTTGAGCCAAGGAACACAGTGGTGTACAAATCTAGATTCTTGGTCAAACGGTCGATGAGTTATGGGCAATTTAGTACTTTTGGTTGCTGTAGCGCCACCTATGGGCCAATCAGGGTCATACTCTGATAGGTTCTCCCCAAACTGAGGCCCTAGCACCTGGCCAGGTTTCAAGTCTCTAGGCCTTACGGTTTGGGCTGCACGATGCGTTTTAGGTTTTTTTTTTTTTTCAAATAGCAATTACAATAGGTTTTCAGCACTTCGTGCTTGAACACCTAATAATAGGGGACCTTTTTGACAGTTATAGCGCCACCTATGGTCCGATCTCCATGAAACTCTGCATGCTTCTTCACCATGTTAGGACACATGTGCTCATCAATTTTTGTGAAGTTCTGAGTTTTTATTTATGAT